TCAAAATCTCCTGGGAGGCCGCCAACTGCGTGTCATAAGATTTCTTCAGCTCCTCCACCAAACGCTGTCGCTCATCCAGCTCGATGCTAAGCATGTCGATCTGAGAGCTACTCCGACTCAAGCTTTGAGACTGGAGTTGACTGCGAAGGGCAGATATCTAAAACCAAGGCTGCTGCTGGTGCAACGCCTCAACTGTGTATTCATCGTCCACCTCGTTCTGAAGACTGCTGATCTGCTGGTCCTTGTGATCTACATTAACCTTGGCCACTGTTTTTATTTTCTTCACAGAAGAAGCGAAGCGAAGCGTTGATAAAGTTTCTTCCGCTTCCGAGCTAAGACACAACACCACATGAAATGAATGCTCTTGTGGTACTAAAACTGCACTGCGATTCTTGAAAACAGCAATGTTGGGCACCAGACCTCGCGAACAATATCGAAAACGCTCGCCGAAATACACGTGTAGTGTTGTGCGAGGACCCAACTCCATATAGAAGCGATAATACTCTCACCGGTATGGATTGATGACCTCCAGCTGATCGTCCAGTGGGAAAATACGCGCATGGTCGGCGAAAAAAATAGAAATTTTGAGGAAATCTTGGGAAAATATGTGTTCATCTCTGAACACTCCTACCCAAATTTGTATATAAACTCCTATAATTAGTAAGGAAACTCCTGAGCTCAGCTGAGGAAAGCAATCATATATTCCTACTCCAACACTGACAGCCATAACTCCTCCTCACCTTGCTGGACTGATGCACGCTATCATGAAGGTCTTTGAGTTGCCCACAAGAGAATCCTTCAATAGGAACGTAAGCTTAGAGGAGCGGAAGGGAATCCACGTCGCCGATGAGGAGGAGGAGGACGACGACGTGCCCGCCGACTCTGCGAAACACGAAGTCTTTCTCCATCTCAAATTTGGCCGCCAGTTACCACTGCGTTTGCTCTGCCCATCTGACAACTGCTTAATGACCATACCCAGAGCACTCAAACTCTGGTTTATCGCTCCAGCCTCCCTGAGCCAGAATAAGAGCGATCAAGAGTGGTGCCCGCAAGTGCTGTAGCCCTCATGCTATTCGTATGATTCGGGCCTCATCCTCTTTCAGTGCCTAGTACTAATCTTACCAGCTATAGTATCACCAGGTTAAAATAATTTTTTATCGAAAGGTTAAATTTACCCCTCATTTTCACCTTTTCCCTCAGCATTTCACTCATCAATGGACCATCGAGAGAATTGAAATTATATCCGATATATCAAGAATTTCAGGAGAATGCCTATAGTCGTCAACAACAACAGCAGCTACACTACCCTACTACTTGAGCCTCAATCCCGAAGTGCCCGTCTTCGCCTGACGCTCGCTACCAGCCAAGTCGATGAGATTCACTCTAGAGCTCACTGTAGGCCCTCCGCGGTGTTTACACTGTTCCAATGGCAGAGAACATCCACACACACTCTGATACACCAACTCACTTCTACTCTAATTCTGAATACCGCGTGGCTCCTCGACGAATGAGCATTCATATTCGTCGCTCCTTCAGCCCTCCGCTTCAACCCATCTAAGCAACGACCACCTACTACAGCAGCATCACTCACGACATTGACTACACTCCAACATATGTTCAATATCTTCCTCCGATCGGACTACCACTTCTGTCGCGGCTTTCACATACACTCCCAAAGAGGGATGCTCCATCACAGCGAGATCCTTGCCACCTCTGAAATTTCCACATAATAAACTATAGTCGGCAATTATGATAAAACTCACTCCGAAGAGTCGGCTAGGAGGTCGTGAAGGTGCTCATTGTAGATCTCAAGATAGGACACCCACACACGTATCTGGAAGTCCTCAACAGTGTTGGGGTATACAGAATATCCCCAGAAAAATGCAAGTCAGGAAATCCTGATACCATTCGGAGGTGCTTGCGAAGGGCTTTACAGATGGTGTTTGGAATCGTTCAAAAGCTCGCCGGGGCTCGCAAAAAATTCAAATTTTCCGCTTTTCCAAGAATCACTCATAATAGCACAGGTCGCACTTTGCTGTTATTTCACTTCTTGAAAATTCAACTTGCGCGAAACCGTTCAAAAAGCACCTTTCTCTCGGGGACACCGGGAATGTCCGCTTGTCTCGGAAATTTTCTCACTAATAATTGAAATTTTCACATGAATTCGGGTAGGAATGTGCAAAAACCACCAAGAATTCCCCGACATTTCCTCACAATTTTTCCATGTCCTCACCAACACATGTAGTTCATCATGTGCATATTTTCTCCCACTCAGTCTCACCTGCTGTAGCTTAGCCGAAGCCTCCGCGCTGAATATAGCCCTGTTTATCCTGGGTATGATGCCCTCCTCTTTATCACAACCCGCCATCGTATAAGACTTGCCAGAACCAGTCTGGCCATACGCAAAAAGGCAACCGTTGAAGCCTTTCATACCTTCAGTGGAGGTGCAGTAATTAACACAATTGGCTGTCCCACTACTGAGCTAAGCTGTGAATTTTCTGCTAAAACACCCTAGAGTACTTTTTCCTATCCTCCTACATAACACGGATATCTTCCGTGTTGAATTGATACTCCCGAGGTGCCCAGTAAGAGACGCCTCCCGAGCTCATTACAGTTATCCAGAATGGTGTGACCAACTTTCTCATACACTGCTTCCTGTGTTGCGTATTTCCGCTTGGAACGGTCGGAGCTGTCGAAAGCGAAGTCGTAGCTGAAATGCCGCTCTCCTCCGCGTTGCATCTGAGCAGGAGAGGATGACAAAAATTCGAAAAATTTCGTCGAATTTATGGAGAGAAATTTAAAAATTCAAATTCGAATTCATTCTCAAGAAAACGATAAATCGCTGGAAATCCGGCGCTCGAAAATGCAAAGAATTGAGTGATGCCACACTCGCGAACAGTAGGATCGCTCATTACCGTAACTCGGACATCCGTAGCATTGAGTATTTCGACCATGGGCCTCTTCTCCTCCCCCATAGTATGCGGGTGGCTCCGCAATCGAATTGCCACTCTTATATTGTCTGCAACCCCGACAGCGCTCTTCGGGGAAGTAGTAGTAGCCGAACTAGGGCGTTTCATGTTTCCAGGAACAACCGCTTCATTTTCTTATGCCTCTACCCCCTAGTAGTAACAATACAAACAGCATTCGAGGAAAGGAAACTATTGGAAAAAAATCTTCAAGTGATTGAGAAGTGCCATAAGGCCTTTCTATACCCTCTGTAGAAAAAGTGTTGCAAAAATAGTGATGACCACGCACCACGATGGAATCATAAAAACCACCGCGAAAACAGTGGTGCTCTCACACAAAGAAGAGAGTGAATTATATTACAAATGCTACCATTTAATCGACAGAATGATCAAGTTTCATCCGTTTTATGTGGAGTGGCGTAAAACTCGGTGATTTACGCGATATTCGTGCCTTGCAGTAGTCGTGAAATATGTTTTTCACTAGAGTGGTGAGACTCCAATCCACAAAGGCACTCAGCAAGTAAACTCACATCGGCGCTGAGTGCCTCCTAGAGCTGTTATCTAGTCTTATAGAAGTAAACATAGATCGGGGGGGAAGCACCGAGATGTATTCCTGAGCGATACCCTCAGCCACCACCACCCCACCCCTTGGCGACGCTTGCAACCTTCCCATCTCTCCAACACAAATATCATTCCGATTTAACTCCTCCGCCTCATATAACGCCAAGCCTTGCCATCTAGACCTAGTATTCTCGCTAAAACCCGTCGTCAACCCACAAGGCCCAAAGCTCTTGTACAGAGGTTCTATCATTCTCCTAAAGAAGCCCAACTGAGTCGCCAGGAACGTCTTAGTCGAATCCGCCCTAGGTGGAATTGACGAAGGCGGTTGCTTCCCCGCTGCAAAGAACAGATCTCTTTCGTGGCCAAACTCCTCTAATATAACCGCTGACCATCTAACCATGGCTGTTCGCGTTCGCGAAGGATTACACAAATCAGCAACATGGAGAAGAATCGAGAGACGGTCCTCCAAAGAACACTCCTCATACTCTCTTGCTTTTTCTATCCACATATTATGCACTTGCATATCCGTTCCTAATATCAATTTCTCGATCAGCTCGAGGTCCTCCTTCCCAAAGAACTCCGCCACGCCAGACTCTTCCAACAACCGAATCGTTTCTCGAGCATGCATCGACTCCAGAGGATGAGTATCATGATCATCCCCCTCACCGTTGAAGATTGCATACCAATTAGAGTAACCCGGGTGATTCACATCATGCCCAAGCGCTGCACAGTAGCACATTATTGCTACCAAGGGCTCTATGCGAGGCTCCTTATCCCGCATCAATACGTATAAGGCAAGAGTGACATCAGCAGCATGGATAGGGTTGTGAAAAGGAGCAGCATTATACTCCCACGTCACCGCTTTAGAATACTCTGCCAGTGCGATGCGCAACTTCCTAACAGAAACCATTGATACTCAACGAGGAATCGATGAACATACACATGTATGTTATGAAAATACATAGAGCATAACCACTAGAAAATTATCCAAAATTACGGTAAATAAAATATTCCTCAGATTTTATGAATCCACCTCCCGTACCATCCCCCCACCTCTTTTTCTCCTCCACCAACTCCATAGTCTCGAGAACATCGTCAAAAATAGCCATCGCCACAACAGGAAGAATATCGAATCTATTCTGGTAATGCGACGCAGCGTAATCAAATATGTCGAAAGTCGGTGATATAAATGTTGACAACTTCGGCAGGGAACTAGGCTCCAACGATGGCCTGAGATCACCACATCCAAGATTAGTAGTGCTCCCCCCTGTACTACCCTGATATACTACACAACTCCTTCACCTTAGGGTAAGGCATTCACTATTACTACTTTTTATATACGTCTGTTGGCTGAGAACAATATCCCTGGAGACAGATAACTCCCCCCCCCCAACACAACCGAGAATCTAATGACAATTACAAACATGTGAACGATGGTCAGCTCTACCATAACTTGGTCAACAGCAGTAGCATCAGCAATAGTAGCAGGATCTATAACAACAACGACTACAGAGGGCGTATCCGAAAAGAGCGATAATAAAACACCCCTCTTGTAGGAGGACGCCCTCACGAATGGATCAATGACCTCGTAGTAGTAGTAATAGTAGTAGTAGTAGTAGTAGTAGTAGTAGTAGTAGTAGTAGTAGTAGTAGTAGTACACAAACGTGGTGATGGAAGACTTCAAATAACTTAGTAATAGTAGGATGATGATGAAGTGAACAGCAAAGGGGTGATACTACTACTATTACTACGTGCGCTCTATTAATGATCCATTGACAGATAGACAGCTTGGAGAGAATAACATCGATTAAGAAATAACACTATGCTATTCATACAGGCTCATGTGAGAGCGAGAGTGAAAAAAACAAATATTCATCAAACTAAAAGGCAACTGATAATCATGATCAACATCGCCGTAGCGAGCAATACACGATTTATTCACAGCAATAGGCTTCTATAACACTTTCCCTTGTGCGAATATTATCATCTATATTCCGAATCCAATCCCAAGACTTCGAGTCCAACATGGCAACTAGTAGGGGCCTCACAAAGAACTTGCTAAAGCCTATTTGTGCAGATGCCAACGACACGTTTGAAGTCGCTCGAGGAGGCAGAGTAGAAGGCGGATCAACGCCCTTGGCCAGAAACAGATCCCGTTCATTCCAAAACTCCCTCATGCATCGTATGGACCATTTCTGCATCACCGATCGACTCCTGGCAGGATTAGATATATCAGCTGCATGTAGCATAACACACAGACGATCCTCTTTCGATAGGGAGTCCAGGCATTTCGCCTTTTCTACCCACATGTTATGTTGTTGCATATCAGTCGCGATGATCATACGATGAATAAGATCTACACGACGACCACCTAGGAGCTCAGCCATGCCCGTTTCTCGCAGCATTCGGACCGCCTCTCGAGCGTGTATTGTCTCCAGAGGATGCGTATCAGAAGAGTCTTTGATACCCCAAAAGGCGAGCACATACCGATTGGAATAACCCGGGTGATAAACATCATGCGCCAGTGCGGCACAGTAACAGGCGATGAGGTCCAATGCATCCAAGTTGAATGATCGCTCGAAAACTTCAAGTAGATGATGTAGAGCAATAGCAATATCAGCCGCATGTACAACATTATGGAAGGGCACATCTTGGTAAGCGTCTTGGACTAGTCTCAGCCACTTCATTGCTCGGGGATACCTGCGATACAATACATCCATGTGCATGCGTGCAGAAGACGAGTCGGAAACTCACCAGTCGAGCTGCAGATCCTTCGCGGCCCGTTTGAATAAGAATATCCCCACCGTTTTCAATACGTCGGTTGGATCCCGCAAGCCATCGACGAAGTCGAAGATGTCCCAGTTGAAATCAGTCACTGCCTTCTCGAGCTCAACGGCCTCCCACGACGAGTAACTGAAAAGCTAAAAGATTTCACCCAACTCGATGGATTAGGCGGAAAATGGTATTCATGTGGGCCTATTCCGTATCTTGCATGCTTGAACCTAAGATACCTACCCATCTGAATCTTGCGTCGATATCGAAGAAACTGAGCTAAGACGTTTAGTCTTGAAAACTTGGCAAGTAACCTTCATAAAATTGCCGAGGCATGAGAAAGGCATGCGTGAGGAGGTCGGAAATGCGACACTAGCAACACCGCCACAACGACTCCATTCGGGCACACCACTTGACGAGCAAAAACGCCTCTGCCTACTAATCATGACCAGAGCAAAGAATAAGCCTCAAGTAGCTTGACCAGAAACCTGTAGACCTTTGAAACTGACCCTAGGTTCACTTGTGTCTTTGGCTCTTCTGTGACCGCTTGACATTTCTCAACCCAATATAAAGTAGACAGTTTTACATCGGATCTGGACATTTCGCTCGCCCGAGAACGTGACACCACATCACGTTCCGTACGTTATGCTTCTACGAACTAGGTTCATTGCATTCGTGGTGCTGCTGTTCTGACCTTACGACCTTTGACCGAGACGTAAGCTTTGAATTGTAATATCACCAATATCGATCGTGATCACTTATAGTGACCACAGTATCACAACTACTCAACGTGATTGTGTAAGGTGGGACAGTTACGCACACGAGGATGGACTGAGCCAACACCAGGCCGTGCGTATCAGCACTATTGCCTCAAGCTAACCTTTTTAAACAACCTCTCAGCTTCTAATAATGTGTCTCGGACTACACCCGAACGAAGATTGGAGGATGCATGCGCATGCGTGCAGAATTAATTACATCTTGTTCAACATTCAGCTTTACCCCTTCCCCAACTGGTGGAGTAAAACACAACACAATACGTTGATAGCGCGAATAATATCATCATCTTTTGCTGGACCAGCCACCCTGGAACGACGAGGACGACCACATACCACCAGTGCGACTACTATTATCAGCACTCGACGACGAAACTGAAGACCATCCATTCGTAGAAGACGAAGACCTAACAAACAGGAGGCAACTCCAGAGGCCAACACCGAGCGTATCCCACTGAGTTGCCGCCGCAGATGACCATGTCGATGTCACTGCAGTAGATGATGACCAAGCCGTCGAGGGCGGGTTCTGCTTGGGAACAGTAGACGATGACCATCCACTTGTAGTGGCCATGGCAGATGAAGACCATGAAGTTGACGGTAGTTTCTAAACAGGAGTATCCAAACTCAAGGCTACTTCTGACTACTACTTTATTATCCGACTCGCGTGTCACCCCTTGCTGCCGTGTACTGCCTCCAACCGCCTTCTCAAGGTCTTCTTCAGTGAATCCATCGATGAACATAAGAGGCTCTATAACGGGCGATCGGTAAAAGCGTTGGATGTTTTTCACTGCCACGTACCACTTCAAATACTCATCATAGGACTGATAAAAAACCAAAAATCCACTTCGTGAACGACCGAGCAGGAACCACCATCTGGGCAGGCTTCGTCTCCAACAACCTCTGTAGCTCAGCATCGATCACCTCCCTCTCCAGAGGCTCCTCACTTTTCTCTAAAGGCGTGTCCAAAGCATTCAACACTGGCATATAAACGTAAACTATCACAGCCATACCAACATGCACCCACCACAACACAAAATCGGGCTCTACCAAATCTAGGAAAAAGTTGCATTTCATTACACTCGAAGGAGTCCTCATGCTCCCCTTTGTTGCCTCTGGTGCAGATCATCCGATGCCGCGCACATCGCTGCGACTAGTCCTGAGCGGGTGACCGTTCTTAATATGAGTTCAAAGGTCCCTACCCGATAATTGCACACGCGACTGCAGCCCTTCGCTCATACGTAGTCTACACATTGCAATTGCTTGCAGAAACCTAACGGATCACAACACTAGCCATAATAATCGTTCTCTACACCGCCGCCCAGCAAAGCATCACTCGATTTTGATAGCCTCGTTGAGCTCTTCCGGTGGCAGATTTCGTATGACCCTCTCCAAGGTGCCAACGATGTCTCCAATGCTATACCCCTGCAGTAGCCATCAGGCCGACGGTGATGACAGAACTACTTCCCCACCTGTGCAGTGATCCTGTCGAGCCTATCAAAGGCACTACACCAATCGTTATTCACACAGTCCAGCGTCGCCTGTTTGAGCTCACCGGGTTGTGGTTGATCGCATACCTGTCATAATCACCAACACTAACTCCTCTACTACCACCAGAGGTCACCTTAAACACGTTCTCTCTAGTGACGATACCAAAGCCAGTCGCAGTCGACTGAAGATTGTTCAATGCCGCGCGCATATCCCCCTCCGCCGTGAAAATGAGTGCCTCCAAACCGTCACCTCGTAGCTGTACCTCTTCCACTGAATGAACACGCCATATCACCATTAGAAGTCCATCCCCCCTAGGCATTACTATCTGCCACCTTTTTAACCTGGGCTTCAATGTCCGAGTCCTTCAGACGACTAAACCTCACAATAGCACATCGGGACTAACAACAGTAGAGGATGACCAACAACAGCTGTAGCAGCAACAGCCCCTCTTCTACCTGTATAGGCTCTATAATCTTGGTACTCTGATTGCAGGCCAAGGCGAACCTTGTGGTGGCCGAATGTATCTCCATCGTCCGCCGCATAGCCTAACACCACCCGATTCACCTCGAGAGACTGGGTCAGCTGAGGACTTGCTGTGCGGCTTCGGTCATCGAATCGGCCTCATCCAGAATGACAATTTTCTGTTGACACCCCCCAGCCGGCAGAGATATCTTCTGTTGAGCAAACGTCTTGATTCTGTTGCGAACCTACAACATAACTGTGTGATATTTTTGATACCACTCCTTCTTCATCACTACCACATCGATACCCCTATCATCAGAGGCATTGAGCTCTAGTACCGCGGTCTTGACTAGGTCCTCTCCCAGCAGGGCCCTTGCTAAGCACATCACACTAAGAGGCATGGGGCTAATTAACCACACCCGTAATGAGATCTCACCTGGTGGTCTTCCCACAACCAGGAGGCCCCGAGAGGAGTAGGTTGGGCATGTGCCGGTCCTCAGCCATGGCCCTGAAGATACTGTAGCCCTCAGTATAAGTAACAGCACTTACCGTAGTCTTTGCATTGCAGGCTCGTTGCCAACCACATCGGAGAGTGAAATTGGGCGGTACTTCTCCACCCAAGGCAGACCTACTCCAGCAGCTGTAGTTGAGGACGCGCTGGAGGCCATGACTTCTACTACAAGTGGAAACTTTGATGGGCTCGGGTATAGTACAATAACAACGGTGATGTTTTCCAAGCCACACGGTGATGCTAATATCGACCGTATTGGTCTGGAGTGTGGCAGTCCGTATCGACAGGATCAAAATGTTATTTCTGAGATATTTTTACCCCGAAGTCTTGTGCGTACATCAGCGTTAAAAATTTCTATCCCATAATAGAAGGCCCTACATCGTGCGTTGGAATTCTTCCATGTTGAGCTCTCAGTATTTAATCAGAAAAACAAAAATGCACCACCCAGGGATCGAACCCGGGTCTGCGAGCTGGAAAAGAAATTTCCGCCGTGGAGCAATGTCCCTGTCCCTACGAGTGCTCTGGGATCCGAAATTTCAGTTGATCTCTAAGTCCCGGAACTTAGTGGTTCTCATTCGTGTTGAGGGTCCCATCTGAGCCCCAACCTGCTGGGCGTTCTGAAAACGTCATCTTTCCTTCCAGTCCACCTTTGTTTCCTCATCGATGCTGTTACTATCGGACTGTACGCGGCCTCAGGTCTGCCAAGGGGACTCTACTAGGGACAATGATATTATAGTAGACACTCTTAGTGAGGTGGCTGAGAACGTTGAAGTACATACCGTTCGGGCTGAAACCTATCCGGATACTCTTCTCGGCAAGCGAGCCTCCAACCATACCAATGACCACAGCGTTAAAAAGGCACCCTCAAAGAGCTGTGATGGTGGTGGCAAGGCCGGTCTCCCTCGGCGAAGTAAACGCAAAGCCTCTTCTGATGGGTCAGTCAGCACTGGTGATGGTCTACCGAAAGAGACGGTTTCTGGCCTGATGAGAATTGCCAATGTATTTCGACTTAGCCATTTTACGAAGAAGAGCACTTTTGGGTATCGCCCCCGAGTGCCCTCATGGGTAGACTTGAGGTCCCATCCTGAGGAGTACTGGTGGTCCGATGGTAATCCTTGCTGTGCCAAGATTAAGAAGGACCTCTACCATGACGGTGACGTTCATATAATGAGCAAGCTTATCGAAGTGAAGTTAGTACCTTCCTTTGCCGGGAATCGAACCTGCGACCATCCGGCACAGTACGATTGGCTCACAGACTACTGTGAGGAAGGGCGAGTACACCATGCAAAACGGTACGTTGTTTTCAGCCTCAAAATAGGCGACAAGACTGTCACCACTTTGAATGAGATCCTTCCTGATCACGTAAATAGAGGCGACTGGGAAGGACTGTTTGCTACTCCTCAAGCATGCGAGGCTGCCTTGAAGTCACGGTTGAAGATATGTGTAGTGCCCGCCAACTCCCCCATCCCAGTGCCCGCTAAGGGCCCTCGTGAGGCCGACTTCGTATTGGACTATTGGGATAAGAAGGACGTTAGCATAATGCAACACAGCTGTCGTCAAGGCCTTTCACGTGTTGTGATGCTTACAGTGAATCTGTACAGTAGTATACTGGTAAAGATGGCCATACGAAGACTGGCTTTCACCGAGGGGCGGATGAGCGACTTCTTCCTCATTGATTGGCCTAGTAAGAGTATTGTGGCCTGCTGCCGACTCATTGCCACCAGAGAGTTCATTCACTTGCTCAAGTCTTGAAACATGTCTATGATTCACGCACACAACGCTGTTGTCCCCCTACCACTCCTTTCTGTTTTTGCGTACTTCTAGTGACTAAAGGACTGTTCTGTTTTCTACTATGACTACCAGCACTCCCTCTTTCATTAACGGTAAGGACGAGGCTCCCACTCTACCAGAGGTCCAACCCACAGAGAGCCAGATAAGGCGTATGACTAGGATGGCCCTTCAACACGGCGCTGTCAATTTGGCCCAGGGGTTTCCCAACGAGGTAGGTCCTTAAAGTGCACATGTGTTTCACTCGCTGGTGTTTCGTAGCCACCCGATTTCGCAGTCAAGGACCAAGTCGTACGAGCTGTTATCGGTGGTAACTCCGATAATGCTCAATCCTTGAAGTCCCTGAATGTTGGTGAGATGTGGACCTTAGCGCTGCCTTGTGAATATTACAGCATCTTCAGAGCCCCTGGTCAAGGCTGGTAGTACTACGCTGAGCTCCTTGCTGTCAGCAGTGGAGGGCTCCATGTCGGGCAACGATGAACTAAACCAGTACGCTATCCCTTATGGCAGGACTGACCTTAGGCAGTCGGTAAGGGAGGGAGGGGCCTTTGGGTAGAGGCCCTATACTGTTGTATTCAGATTGCTAAGTACTACCATCACTTTTACAATTTCGACGTGGACCCTGAGGAGGAGCTCACCGTGTGTCTTGGCGCTACCGAGTCAATGGCTTGCACTCTGAGGGCTATATGCAAACCGGGCGAATCGGTAGGTATTACTACTATTATAGGGGGGACTGCGCGGACTCGGGGTGCTGGTGGTACTGAGTGGGCGCTAAAGAGAGCGCAGGAGAGATAGTGCCATAGTTTGTACACAGTAGATGTCATGCTACTGAACTAGACCATATTATTATTATTATTACTATTACTACTATTACGTGTCGGACGCACGGCATGAGCCGCTACTATTACTGCTATTACTGCTATTACTACTATTACTACTATTACTACTATTACTACTATTACTACTATTACTACCATTAATACTAGTACTACTATTACTACTATTACTACTATTACTGCTTACTACAGAGGTTGGACAGCCATATCATGTAGATACTTATTTTCGAGCCCTTCCACGAGATCTACCCCAACCAGGCCGCTGTCTACTATCTGCATACTAAATACTGCAGGTGGCCTCCTCCCACTTCTCCCTCCATTCCTTCCTCTACCATCATTTTAGGCTCTATGAAGGTGAGGACGACAAGTGGTATGTAGATTGGGATATGCTTGAGGCCAGGCTGCGAGAGGGTGGCGTTAGATGTAAGGTACCCCTACTCCTCACCACCAGCAGTAGTGTCTCGAACTACTCAGGTATCGTTCTCAATACGCCCCACAACCCTACTGGTAAAGTGTTTGAGAAGGAAGAGCTTGCTAAAATTGCCGAGCTCGCCGTGAAGTAGGAAAGCTTTCGTAGACCTTTTTCCTTCACTTCTACACGTTTGACGTGGCAGAGTACACGAACCCTAGGGGGAATGTTTCTCTCTAGACAAAGAGAATTTGATAAAATTACGGTATTAAGGTACGACACTTACGTTGTGACCGATGAAATATACGAGCATATGATTTTCGAAGGAGAACCTCACCAAATTATCGCCTCCTTGCCAGGCATGCGTGAACGATCTGTGAGTTCACACTCCCATACCGCACGCTCGACTATTCTCGTCTTTAGTTCATCATCAGTGCTATTTCGAAGTCGGCCTCAGCAACAGGGTGGAGGGTAGGCTGGGTTATCAGCCCTCGCAAGTACACTGAAATCATCAGAGCTGTTCACGACCAGACGGTAGGCCTCTACTCTTCAATGGCGAGAGCCTTTCATCACTTTAGGTACTACAATCACCGTCACCTATGCAATATGGCACAATCGCCTTCACTGAGCTCAGTGATAACTATTTCAAGCATTACCTTCCTGAGAAGTACTCCGAAATAACAATACCATCCATCCTTCAATTCGTCCTTGCATAGGTACCAGAGAAGGCGAGACTTATTCGTACCAGCCCTCCGAGAACTCGGCTTCAAAGTCACTACACCTCACTCGGCATATTACGCGTAAGGGAGTTGCTGCTAATAATGAAGGTCATTCGCTTCTCCTCAGGTTTGCCAATTTTCGTGAGGTGCCCAAACTGAAGGGAATGTCGTCTTGGGAGGCCACCGACTACCTTGTTGAGGAGGGTGGTGTTGCTGGGGTGGCCGGGGCTAACTTTTGTGAGAAGGGCTCGGGTAGAGGGGAGGATTATGTAAGCCCTCGTGTGTCACCATCGTCGTGTCACCACCACTACCACAGATACGGTTCTGCTTCTGCCGAACTGATGACGAGTTGATGACGGCCATTAACCGTCTTAGGAAGGCATTGCAGTGAGACTCCTCTTTCTTCTTCTGCTGCTGCTCCTCCTTTTTGTTTACTATATCGTCGAGCTCTGCAGGCAGTCTCCTGCTAGTCCTAGGGGTTCATGGTTGCGTTACTCAATGGTGAAGTGGTCTTACTATCATGGTCGTAAAGTAGCGGTAACAGGAGATCCATGGGAAGCCTCTGGAGGGGTCACTACTCATCCTAGAAGTACATTATCATGTCTAATACTAATGACGGAACATCACCACCCCCGAGTTGGGTAACAGCAGGGGGTGGGGAGAACGCTACTAGGGCTCGAGTACCAGGCTGGATGGTCAGCGACAGCGGCTCTGGTGGTGAAGGGACTACTACGGCTAAGGGGCAGCACCAGGATGGGAAAGGGGCAATGGATGCCTTCTTACCAAAATTACGCCAATTCCTCACTATAGTGAGTTTTGGATATCACGAAGCCCTAATATCATCGTCATCATGATCAGGTGGATCCAGCCCGGGAGAAGGGCAGTTCGGATGAAGACCTCCTCGCAGTACTTAGAGACTACGATACCCCCGAGGGCCTGTTCGCCTCACTCGATGAGCAGTAGTGCGGCTAGTAGGTCCCTCTGGTACGAGCATCATGCAAGGTACAAGGCTGAGTGGCATCAACACCAGGATGGGGTTCAACCTGCCTCTCCGGCCCCGTCCCCGGCACCGGTGACATCTACTGCATCACCCAAACCCCGGTGTCAATACGGCAATAAGTGTTATAGGAAGAACCCACAGCACATGAGGGACTTTGACCACAGTCACAGTCCTCTGCTGCCGAGCCAGAGTGGTGAGGATGCGGTCACTATATCACCTCATAAGAAGAGGAAGCGCAAGCGGGAGAAGGACAGTCCAGAGGAGTCTGGGGAGAGCAGTGACCTCTCCTCGTTTATAGTGAGTACTTCATAGTCGCCCTCTTCCCAAGATGTGCTCAGGTGCCGGATGATGTAACCGACTCCCCTGAGCGTAATGGTGAGTTACCCCTGTGGACTGCCCTATTAGAGTTGTCGTTGCAGATGATGATCCTGACTATACCCCCGACACCAGCGGCAGGGACTCCCCTTCCCCCCCAGGGCCAGCACGGCCAGTGTGTATGTACGGTAAGCAATGCTATAGGAAGAACCCCGTGCACTTCAAAGAGTTCGCCCATCCGTGGCTCGATAATGATGATGATGACAAAGCAGCTAATCCTTATCGCGATGCATTTGCGTTAGTGCCTCTCCTATGATTTTATAGCTGCGTGTCGGGCTATGTCCTTCTCCTCGTCTTCGTCTCCAACCGGTCACCAGCAGTATGCATATGATTACGATGAAGACACCCATGGTGCTGCTCAACTCCACCACCACTCTAAACTTATCCGTTTACCCCCTTCAGGTCGATCTCCTAAAGCACTAGGAAGGAGGAGTGACCTTAGTAGGCCCTCGAGGGTCTACTACTCGTAGAGTGATGGATCGTTCCAGATGACCCCCGTCGTGATAGTCGAGGAAGCTTCGGCAGCCGGGCCAAGCCTTCCATAAAGCTCTTCGTAGGCTCAATACCCTTCAGCATCACCGAGGTATGCTGGCCTTAATGACGATGGGCGCCTCCTCCCCCGTCCATAGGCTGATCTTGAACCACTCTTCACACCCTACGGGGAAGTAGTAGAGCTAGTGATACAACGACAGTCAGACGGGCGTAGTAAAGGATGCGCTTGGCTGAGGTCAGCTCCTCATCGCGGACCGCCTTATGGACCTCCCTCACTGTAGATATGCTACGAAGGCAGAGTGCGATGCCTGCATCAAGGCTCTGCATAACACGTAAAGTGGTCGTAGTATTCTGAGTGTAGTGCGTTGACAGGTACCAGTGGCGTACGGGTAGTACGTGGAGTTTGATGCAAGTGCGGTATGCTATAGGGGAACTCGATGGGTATCATAATAAGCTCTTCGTGGGGGGTATACCAGCCTACTTGGACGATGGTGCCCTCACAGCCTCTTTCTCAACTACGTAGTAGGGCTAGAGGGGACACCATTGACCCTTTCATTGTGAAGGTATGGGCCTGTGAGGGAGCTTGTGAGTCTACGCCGGGGGCCAGGACAGAGCACGAATGCTGTGATGGTGAGGTTCCTCCGAAGGGAGAGTGTTAACAAGCTCCTTGCGGACTCTAGAAGACGCCAGATGTAGGGTGACAGAGGGGGGACTGGTGTCACCATGAGTCACCGCAGCTACCTTTGTGGAGTCTACTGCCCTGCGGTTCGAGTTTCCTATGCTCACTACAATCGGCATGGGGACCGCGTATTCTCTACTAAGGCTACTGCTGAGGATAATGTTCTGCAAGAAGGAGAAGGAGTACCCTCACAGAGGCGAGTTCCACCACAGTCTTCTACAATGGGATACCCTCCTGCCCTACAGGGCCCTCCATCGCAGTTACAGTAGTGCTTCGTCGTTCGAGTCCAGTGGGAGAGGTCGGCAGGTCAGCGGGTTGGGCCCAGCTGTTGACCAGGAAAAGGAGGTCGGCAGTCCCAGTCAGCAGCCTCCTCCTCCTCCTCTTCATCATCATGCCCAGTGGTCATGGCCAAACTACTACTCTTGGCCACCTATGGTAGCAGGCAATGGTCATGAATACAGGTTGGAGGGTGCTCCTCAACGGTCTCCTCCTGGTCCTTGCTTTAGTCAGGTCCTCCCACCCCACCATGTACTACGTGCCTAGCGACCCTGTTGGGAGGCATCTCTCTATAGGGAACATACCGTCCTACAAGTGAGGGTCGACCTTAGTCAGTCGAATAGATGCAAAGTGTGCTCTCCAGAAGCTTCTCCGATGTGACTGATCTCCTCACACCGTATGGTTCGATTCTACACATCACTGCTGTTGATGATGAGGATGCTGATCATGGTACTATGACAGTATCAGCAGTGATGGCATCGGATGCTGAGGTAGTGACGGCGGTCCCCTTAACGTAATAGGTGTTTCAGGCGAGTGCTGCCGAGGCGGCATTGAATGGTTATGTATTCCCGGACGACGAAGCACAGCTTCCCTTGAACGTGTCAAGGGTAGTGTGGAGCGTTCGAGGAAGGTGGTGACACTGTAGACAGGTGACACCACCTCAAGAGTGGTCTCCGGCTCATTACTCCTACTACCCTTCACCAACGACCGATACCATCCCTGGCAGTATAGCAATGACCAAGATAATGGCTGGCCTCCTCAAAGCACAGGAGACTCTGGTGAGTGACCGTGCTGGTCCACTGCTCTCACACATCATTCAGGCTCGGCATTCTCCCGTATACGCTGGTTCCGGCAGCTTCCCTCAGGTGGGCGGCGTTCTGGTAGCCTGGTGTCAAGGCAAGTTCTTAGGCCCCCCTGAGGCACCACTGTCACAACTGCTCGGGAGAGTACTGGTTGCCGCCTATCATCACTGCAGCAGCAGCTGGACATATTCAACTCGCTGCCAATTTGACAAACTCTGCGATAGTCTCCCTCCCAGCTGAATGTAGACAAGCCTCTCGTGACATCTGACACTGCCCTACCTCAACGTTAACTATCTCTCTACTCTAATTCTTCCAACGGTATCATATAATCCTATTTTGATCCCTATTCGATGGTCGTAGTTTTCACATAACACAGACAGCTGGCATCTAATTTTTCTACAGTATCTTTAAACTCTCCACTGTTGTGGTTATCTTGATATATATTATACTCCTCAGCTCGGGGACCACATTTTCAGCCGAGTGTCTTTAGTTCACATAGTTGGGAGGTCATACGACTGACGTTGAAGTCATCACTTCTACTACACTTGCTGCGTAAGTTGACCTCGGCGGAACCGTTCCGGGAACTCTTATGAAATTATAGTGTACTTATTTCGACTGCTTGAGTGTGCTCACGCATACGCTCCATCTAGCATAATGTCTGTTTATCGTCACAACGCACCCTAGTAGTGGCAGGTTTGCAGGTGATGAAGAAAACGGGCCACCCCTCGGAATATCCCAGCGTGTATGAATATCAGACAAACTCAGACGCCAGTTCGAAGATTTTCACGAGTTTTCTCCAACGGTAGTTGAATCAATTCCACACTCTTCATATCTATAGACGAGCAGCGTAACATTTTTCTACGTTCACGTTACGGTGTGCGTAACGTAAGCAGTTGACGGTTAAGGGAAGGCCTTAGGACTTGACGGTTGGTGCTGAACTGCCTTTTTGGGATTGTGTCGGAAACATTCGCTGTAATGCACTCCACCATAGCTCAAATCGTGGTTAAACTCATTTCTGGTGGCTCGAATTCAACCGAACCGCTGAAAGAGTAACATTTGGTTTCGCATTTACTAGCCGCCCTTCCGTCTTACCCCCAGGCTGGCCCGGAACTGCCGAGCCGGCCTCGTCTGCGCATGCGCATTCACATTGAATATATCTCTTGAATAGGCGTCTTGAATGACCAATCCTGGTTTCGTCCTCTGCATCTCCGTAAGACCCGTTACGGCGCCGTAATTCTACATTACAGGGCTTGAGGCGTAACCGTAAAAGAAAGCCGTGTATAGGGAATAGTCCTGGCAGATTCCATTCCTGCAGTGTTTCCTTCTATCGATAGGCCAACTTAGCGATATGCGACGATATTCCATCCTTTGGTTTTGGAACGGTAAACCTGGTTGGGGCGCCTATGGTATCAGAAAGTTGAACCATAGATAGACGCGAATACAGCAAAATGGACTCTGCCAGAACTTTTCTCTACATATGGTTTTTTCTTTTCGGTATTACTCAGCGAGTGTCAAGAGTATGAAAGACCACCACTGGAAAGAGCTCGCCGAGTGCTTTAAAATTGTGATTGAACCTGTCTGATATCCGCATGCATTGATAAATTACGGGGGTGGGGCCCTTTTTCTCGATCCCCTTATAGAAGCGTGTAGGTGCTCTAGGAATCTGCTTGACCCAGGTGATAACCGAACTCCTCATTACGTTCCTCTTGAACCACTTCCAGGCCAATCGCAAGATTTGTTTTGTGCATTCCTAACGCATCACCGTTCTCATCGGGTTGTTCCGATATAACACTCAATGCAAGGTACATGTAGGCGTGTTGGAAAAACGAATTGCAGGTAAGATAGCAACACTGAACAAACACAACCTGGGTCTTCTCATTCTAACGCTTAGTCGAGATGCTTAGTGTCCTTCACACCGTGAAAACCGCCGTATACCAACTCCACCGATTTGGGATCGATGGCGTATCTGATCAAACAACGAATCTCCCATTTATACAAATCAATCACCATTTCAAGGAAAAAGAGTATACGGAGAAATGATACAAAAATGTACAAAGTCAATGGCACCTCCATGACGACTATCTTCAAAGCGACCCTATACAGTCGTCCACTACGCCGCGGGCGGCTGGCATTATGCATTCAGTAGTGCCAACAACCCTTCACTCGATATTACTTTCCTTTGCCAGTAGAGACTAACTCGAAAGTAGTAATGCCACAGTTGAGCATCTTGTTAGATCTTGCGGGTGTTCGTACGCCTCGGGGAAGGAACGCGTTGAAGAATTCTTGAAACAATCACAAGTATACTCACACCGTGATGGTCACCACCTCACCTCGGAAATAAAGAGAATGTCCAATCGCTATAACACAGTCCACATCGCGCGCCATCGGACCTGACCAAAACTACCCAACAATCAACTGATACCACCTACTGTTGAAACACCAGTCGCAGAACTCATGAAACCTCATCAGGCCATTCGAACTGAGGGGCTTCGATCCGTCGTTAAACCTATTGCCAACTACACGACGGATAAACGCAGAAAATGCCTTACTTCCCGCTAAGCTTGTGCTCTGAATAGAAATCAACCACACCCTTGATTTTAGGTTCCGCAACTTCGACAAAACTGGGACCAGGAATACCCTTCTTGGGCGTCAGAGCAAAACCATCCACATTCCGAGTCATCTCCTGAGACCTTCATCTCTCCCAACCCCCATACTAACATCTATCACCTGTAGGGCACTCATGACGTAGATCTGCTCCTGCTTGTGCCCTCCAGTGGAAGGTGCATCTTCATTTTGCAACAGCCTTGCTGATAATGCTATCATCCCGGTAGACACAGCTCTCCGCAAATTCGAGGACGCCATAACAGAAGTATGCTCTGAATATGCCAAATTCCTTTCCTATACAACCACTGACTATTACCGTGGTCGTCCCCTGCGAGAATTCGCGCATACTCGTTGGTTTTCTTATTGTTTTCAATCCAGTTGAGTAACTTCAAACTCTGCTGAATTCCATCTGGCGAAATAGGAGCATCCCAGTACCTTATACGAATGCCAACAATAACCCCACCCCCCTAGCGAACACATTACAGCGAATCCGCAGTAGGCATCAGCTCCAACTCTTTTATCGAGCACTTCAACAACCTCAACGGAAACGACGGGCCGAATCCTGCACCCAACACGACGGCAGAGTTGATAAGCATATATTGATGCCACAACGCCGACCTTTGTTGAAAACCACATTCCACATACTCTCTCCGTGTCTCAGGAATATGATGCGCTTCCGGTGGGCTCTCTCAGGGAAGGCTCTCGACTCCTCCAAAATCTACAGCGGAAAGTCGATATTCTCTACAAGTGTACGCCAGCATCTCCTCACGATTCGGGTATCAGACGGTTGTTTCCACTTGCGGTCCTTTGAGAGGAAGAAATGCAGAGATGCTCTCGGTATCGCCAACAGCTTCGTCTTGACCTGAGAGGCATCCATCGTGCAAGAGGCCGACCTAGACTCTTTCCCTAAGTGGGACTATGACCTACATCCTCAGCTGATGTGATAAGGAGTACGAGATAGTAAACAAGAGCAGCGGCAACAAGGAAGAAGACCAGCACCTGCAAGGAATATCTTTTAGGGGGAGTAGGTCCAGCCTTACGAACGCTGGAGACCTGGCCATGAGGAAATCTGCGACGAACGATGATCCTGAGGACATTTGGGTCATAAACTGACAACAATCAACACCATGAAGATGAGCGCAACCACAACACAGAGGAAGGGGGAACTACGAAACTCGGGTAAGCTGGCGACGGTAGAGGACGACTTAGGGCTACTACCGCTTTTAGGGGGTGGCCCTTTGTGAGGGGGGTACCGTCACTTCGTGGAACCATCTCCTACAAGGATAGTAGCTAAAATATAGTACAGCAATTCCTAACGCTTCTCTAGGCGGTAGTGGGAAGCACAAGTCGCTTTCTAATGGTGTAAAGAATGTCGACACCACGACCTAGCAGTAGAACCGAAGTACTATGGAGCAGTGCAGTAGTAGTACTAGTAGTGAATGGTATATGGGGATAACCCACTGCTTATGTACATGGGAAAATGCGTCGTCGCCGTCGTAGTCGTCGTCCTACCTCCAAACACGGCTAATCCTGGACGTGTTGGTGGTATAACGGTTGATGATGATGATGATAGGGGTACGTTGGATTTGAAAATAGGACAGAAATAATGATGATGCTCGTGATTAATCCATTGCATGAATGCAATAGTAATAGACCGACAAGGAAAGCGTTCGAGAGTCCACTGAGCAGCAGCATATCACGGCGAAACAGGAGGTATACCTGAGTACCATCTGAGTACCGACGGCAATACACTCCTGCAACTTACTATGAAGCACATTGATAAAATTGGCGACTCCAGGGAGAGTGCGATACCGTAGTCGTCAACTGACACTACACGAGCATAGGGCTACAGCGTCCCAACTACTGAGCAGTGCTTACCTCCTATCACTGGGTTACATGTTGTCGATGCCGCCTGACCGTTAGATCCAACTGGCGTTTCTGAAAACGTAATCACAGGTGCTCATGAGGAGTGTGAGTATTACCCTCGAGGGAGGTTGATAATGTAAAGGTGAAGCTGATGCTGACCCTCGAGGAGTTCCCAGCACGTAGGGATCACCACTAGCTACTACTGAAGTTCGTCCTCTAGGGGTAGCTACACCGACCCTCGGAGTGGCCCTAATGATAACAACAACATTACAGTACGAAGGTTACCAATGTTGGTACCCTCTAGGGCTAGGTGGCGGGTAGTTGGCCATGCCCCCTCCACGAGGGCTCGCCTGTTGATAAGCCCTTGGTGTGAAGTTGGGGGCTCCTCTGGGGCTCTGTTGCTGGTAATAGTACGATACCGATGCAGTCGAGGAAGTGCGCTGTAGGTACCGACGAGGAAGCATACCATATCCCGCAGCAGCAGCAGCGTCAGGATGATGATCATAGGAAGCCCGAGATCGGCCCTCCCTAGGGGTCCCTCTAGGGGTCAAAGAGGCTACCCGAGGGGAGGGAGAGCGACTATGTACTGTTGATCTCGGGGTGTACTGCTGATAATAAGGATACGCCGCCAAGGAGCTCCCAGAGGGCGGTGGCCGACTGCGACGAGGAGAGGCCGTCCTAGCGCTACACAAAGACAGGTCCAGGAGCATTGAGGTAGTAGTTGGAGACTCACTATAATGCGGAAGACCTAGGGCTCACGCGCTGAGCATAACCTCCCGGGGTTGGCCCTCTAGGGCTCGGCCCTAATGATAATAACATATCGAAGCGTCGACATCATCATTCTGGCCACCTTCCATCTGCTGTTGCTGTTGCTGCATTCGTAGCATCTCCCTTTCCCTTCTCATTCTCTGTCGATCCTCCAAGGCCCTCTGCCGCTCAGCCACTTCATCCCAGGGCGGGATGAGTCCGTCACCTTTACGCTTAGGCCGGGGGGCTCCTATATGAGAATAATCCCCCCGAAATTCGCAACTAATACTGTACCCACTTCTAGTAGTATCTTCATCGCCACTACTAAAATCAAACTCATCCCTCTCCCTACGCTTGGTAGAGGACTCTTCTGTGGTAGGAGGAGTTGACGACGCCGATGACCTGAATAGCATGCTAAGGTTCTTCATAGAGATGTGAAGTTACTTTTCGACTTCCTGTGGCTGGTCCCTGCCAGATGCAGTGGTCGAAGCACTAACAGCACCAGTGGCATCAAGAGGGGCACCCTTACGAGGGGTGTAGGGCGTCCTAGTTGGAGGACGAGATAGCGTCGATGATGTTGTGGCCGGATGGTCAATCTCCTGTTTGCTACTGGTGCACCCCATGAATAATCAATAGAGCGGTGTTGTTAAAGAGGGAGATTAACAACAAAGACGACAACAATGCCCTACAGACAAGACATGTACTCCTGACGGCACACCAGTGACGGAGGAGAAGAGTATAGAAGTGGCGAGCGCGTCCAACACAGACGGTCCAGCATGCTGTTCGCTCAACTAAGTGACGACGGCGTGTTTAATAGATCTCTTCTGAGCTTCACGAGCGCCCCTAAGATTGGATATAAAACTCCATCCTGGGAGCGCCCTCTGGAGATATCAAAAGAATACCGGGTGAGTGGCAGGTCCTAGGAATTTCTCGCGCGCCACAGAATAATCTCGATGACAAGAAATTACTGCAAGTGCATGTAATCCTTCATGTGCTTAAGCCGAGACCGTCACACAAGACGAAGACGTAAAAGGTTTGAGCACATTGCTACTACCATGTAGGCACAGGTTCAATTCCCCGCTATTATATCGGGGGGATATATCCTTCCCCTAGGCCTTGGCTACACGTATACAACTTTTCAAGGCCTATTTCGCGTTTAGTAAGATCAATTTCGCAGGGTGAGCAATCATCCGAACTAAGATATGCCTAAGTAAGATCAATTTCGCCAGCACACTCGATAGAAAAATCAATTTTGACGACACGTGTCATCAGTACAATCAGTTTCGCGGGCACGTCTGAAGTAAGTTCTATTTCGACGGAAGGGGAAATCGATTTCGCTGATACTGTAATGGATTAGTTGCTGCAACACTTTAAGAGTATGCGTGCAGTTTAGTGTGAGTGTGCGTGCATGCGCACGCAAGCGCAACCACTAGTTTTTTTTCCCTTCGTATTGAGAATAATAGTAACGATGATCTGTCAGTTCGTTCTTACCTGTAAACTTGTCTACCGTGTTGGTAAACTCCTCATATACTGATAGTCTTAGACTATCAACTGACTGGCATAACGCAATAACCTATAATGGAGTCTAGAAGAACAGACGAAGTGACGGATCACCTCAATGCCTAGACATACTATGGTTACTTCTACACCTCCTCACCAGAGAGTACACAGTTTCACCCACAGCTCCAAGCGGCGATATCTTAGACTGTCGTTTCGGGCGATCTAGGCTGTGAGTACGTGCGATACCTCAAGGAGCTTGCATGGAAATGTGTCCCTCATACACTGCATTTTCACAGTTGGCGATTGGCGCATCGTCACAGCGGCAAGCGCTTCCTATTTTCGGGACGGCCGAGAGCATCAAGAAGTGTTCGTCTGGCCTTAGTTCGTCTGGCCTTAGTTGGTGAATGAGTAGCCAACCAACCAATGCGGACGTTCAATCGAATAGCATCGCCGATAGTTTTCTTGAGTGGACTAGAGAGAGCAATACCATTCCTTCGGCAACTCATGGCAACGACATGACTTTCCATCAAGACAACACAGCGAATTTGCTGGCGAAATTGCACACCTCTGGAGAGTCGGTGAGGACATCTACAACTTTCTTGAGACATCAACGTGCAGCGTTCTCCGCGGGAATCCGAAATGACCTGAAAGGACCTACTGACTGTTGACAATCCTTGCTGGATGTCAATCTGCCTAATGCTACCAGTACTACTACTGCCAGTAGCAGCTTTGAGAAATATAGTTCCCTAGGGTTTGATAACAATGAGAAAAACCTATTGTTCCTATTGTGATGACATTTAAATGGGAAACTGATTGAAGACTGTGCTCTTAACCATGTGGAAAACTCACGATGAGTTCTTCCCGGGAACATCCTAGGTTCCTGTACAACTCCCCGCCTACTACTACTACTACTACTACTACTACTACTACTACTACTACTACTACTACTACTACTACTACTACTACTGTTCTTAGGCCCACTTGGAGGATTTAGTGAAGAGTATGTCCTATCTCGATCATTCAGCCTCACCGGAAGCCAAATTCAGCCAGCCTGAGGCAGCAACGGATAGCATTAAGGAAGAGCCTGCATTCCCGCGTAACTCCACCAAATAGCACAAGATTGGACAATGGTCAATGTCGTAGAGGCCAACGGACAAGACCAGCCGGGGCGAATACTCCGATGTACGCGTGAAAACCGCGAGAAGAGGAAGGTGGAAGATGAACGAGACAGGTGCGAATCGGCGTGATTATGATCGTACGAGTAACACCACAGATGGAAATATTACCATCCACATAACGCAAGAATAGACCTGAGCTCGTCCCGAATCACGAAGGCTTTCGGAGGTATAGAAGTAGATTCAACCAGTGGTAGTACCAAACGCACCGCCACTGGAAGCGAGGACAGCGTCGATGTATCAGAACAGTCCTTTATGACGCAGCGCTCGGCAGTGGACAATGCTAGTGGCCATCAGTATAGCACTACCACACCCACAGCAAACGCTGCGCTATACGAACGAAATCTCCCCCACGTGATGAGTGGCAGTCTGTTCAGCAGTGAGATTCCACTCTCAGTGTGTGTAACAGTACTGAATCTCTCAGGAGCATATGTGCATCAGTATCATACGTCCCTCAGCATTGGGCCGGTCGACTGTCCTCGGCAGTAGGTGCTTTCATCCATCCACCTACATACTATCCTGCGGCTAGGCCCGACCCTGCATCGGATTCAGCAGAGCCGAGGAGCTGATAAGACAACCGGTCCATGGCAATGTTCACTGAGAATGTTAACTAGCATATTCAGTTGCCTGCCTCGGCTTGACCGAGTGACCGCGTAGCGTTATTTGCGTCACAAGTGAACGATGAAGAGCCTCGCACGAGACTCAGCAGTATGGGCGAGATGCTATGGTTTTGGCTATCTCGGCATTTTGCTCGAAGCATTGCTCGCTTGCTGGATAGATAGTTGAAGTACTTTGAGCGCATAGTATGGACCGTTGATGAGGCTGCGATTTCCGCAATTTTCCCACCACGACTGTACCACTCGAACGGGAGAAGGTAGGTTAGTCAAATCAATGATATCGGAAGTCGTATGCTGAGCATTACGTGGATGTGCTCACAAATCAGGACTTTGAGTCCGTGCTTGAAGCCCGTCTGTTGGTGTCGTTACGTGTGTGTTGACTAGCGGCATAGGCCTCTACACGGGCACGTACAATGGATAGGAACAGGGGGAGGTTGGTGATGGTGATTGTGCGTCTGCAATAAGCATGCAGTTGTGTGAATAGGTGCTTCGATCGGTAAAGCCGTCGTTTTCGTTCGAGTTTCGTATGGGAGTCAACCTTCTGGGACAGTTCTATACCACTAAGGAACCTATCTGGCGAATACCTCCTCCACTAGCCTGTTCGCGGTTGAGGAATCCACATACACGAGTGAGGACATCTATTTGGCGCTTGAGAGCGCATCATATTAGTTCATAAAGGAGGTCGGTTTTGCGACGCGGTTTACATCAGGATTTCAATTTAGTGAACAAGGTCTATAATATCACGATTAGGCAAGCCAATCTCGCTGAAATGGACATCAGTTTTGGGGGGATGGGTGAATCGATATTGGAGTGCACTGAAATGAAGTTCGACTCAATCACTCGTCCATGAAAGGAAGAGCGGCGAAGATCTGATTGAAACGGAGAACAGAACAGCAGATGTACGAATCTTCACTATTGTGTCTCATTTTCCGTTTAGAGAGGCAAGCGCCTTCTCGGTGTTTTTGTAACCAACTCACTTCGAACAGTTATGAGTAAGCCCAACAAGGCAGGTTAAGACGAAGCCAGTTTCATATGCGTTTCACGGGTTTTGGGCCCTTAGAGCCAACAGAGCGACAAAGAACAACATAGCGTCACGGATTCACCAGGTGCTTCATCGCCTTTGAACGCCAACTGCATACCCCATACGGCCCCTTGCCACGTAACCCAGTTGAACTCAATACCACGTGTAACGTGAAAACCACGTTGTATGATTTAAGGTTACATGAATTCAGTACGGATCCACAACAACAGCGTGCATTCACCCTCGTCACATCGCCAACAACAACAACGACCACAACAAATACAACAACAACGACCACAACAACAGCACCAACAACAACAACAACAGAGCGACAACAAAAACATCCTCAACAGAGACAACTTCATCTTATGCCGAAACTGTATCACATCCCTTGACTTCCTTTCCTTACCAGACATAATTCCACAACAGATTTACGCACAAGCCCTTCATCATCGAAATCTGAGCTCTTCAAGGCACGCTCCACCGCATCGCATCAGTTATTTGGGAGTGTTGGGTGAGACTAAGTGTTAGCCAACTAGGCAGCAGTGGGCGGTGATAATCTCGAACCTCACAACACGCCGTGCATTGGCTCAACCCCACAGTCACATTGCCTAGCACGCAGGCACATAGGCAATGTCTCCCAAGCAACTAGTAAAGGTAAAAGGAAAATTCCAGGGTGGAACTGGCTCGAGGTGCTCCTGGACAGCCAGATTGCTGTCACTTCAGTCTCGACCGGTTGCACCACTTTCTGGTTCGGATCGATCACAATGACGTGCGTCGCGAACGCACGAGCAATACTTGTTACGCTTGCTTGAATTTGCCCCCTGAAAGCCTGGACCTTCACTCAAGCATCGAGAATAGAGAGATTTTCAAATGGTGTATAACTCGGGGGACAACAGGGACGAGTACGCGTGCACACTAATTGCGCTGAGCCGCACGCGCGCAGGTTTTGTGGTAGCTGTATGAAACTACGAACTCAAGCCAGTACGAGTTATTGAAGTGCAACTTCAGTAGCTAGAGCGTGCATAGTACGTGGATGCGAAGTGTTGCATTCCATTCCATCACCCTCGTCATGTCCCACCGTGCGATTGGCACTCGGGCCCTCGTAGGACTCAGTGCAGCACCTCATCTACGACTACAAGTTGACGTGATGGCCGTAGTAGTCCCAATTCTGATCATTCACTCGCTGAAGTCACTCTGTTAAGATCCAAGCTTCCTAGAACTGCTAGGCTAGAAGTCTTTATAAAGCAGTCGCGGGTTCGATTCCCGGTAGGGAGACTTTTCCAACATTTTTTCGGCGCGCGTGGTACACTAGAGGAGACTTGAATTGAGGTTTTATGACCAGCTTATTGAGCAATCCAAGGGATAATAGTAGTCGTGAGCGGCCACTGGCCGCCAACACATTTTAAGTGTGCAAACACCCCAAAAATTTTTGGGGTGTTGGCGAGACCGCTCCTTGGTGACAGGCTGTCACTGACAGCGAGCCTCCCACGCCGAAATGCTGGGGTTGCAAGGGGTGACGAAAAGACAGAAACGTGACGCTTATTTTGGTGAAGCTGGCCGATGAACAGGTGACTTAGGAATCGCTCATCGAGATACACGCCACTTTCACAACTTGTATTTCACCACTGGAAAATTCAACTCCGGCAGACTAGCGAATTCGTGCGCCAAGATACTTCAAGGATGCGCGGTTTTAGAATCTTCCATTTCGACATAGGAAATTTCAATTTCGACGGGCCGGTTTAGTAACTTTGATTTCGACATAATAGTAACTCCTATTTCACACGTGGGATCATCAAGTTCGCCTCTGGGGAATCTTCGCACACGAGCTTAGTAGTCTGCCGAAATTGAAGCTTCCAATGGTGGAATAGAACTTGGCAAAGGTGTGGTATGCGACACTGATATTCCGACCAGTGGTAAGTGGTAACCACACTATAAAGAATGCCTTCGGCAAAGGGTCGCACCTATCATTAGCTTTGTTGAGTTTGTTAGAGTCATCATGTTATCCCCTCCAATTCATCGTGTTAGGGAAGGAGAGCCTCTACCTCCACCGTCTTCATCGTATAGCATAATCAGTGAAGTAACCATACTCATACTACTACTGTTACTACCACTACTACTACTACTACTATAGCATCACTTCAGTGCTTGTGCTTTGTAGGATAGTCATCCGCCGTCACCAAGTCAGCCTCCTCAACAACGACTTCGACATCGTTTCTCTGATAGAGCTAGGTAGGAGGATCAATACGGTTTTCCACTAGCTGCCCGCGTATGGCAGGTTATGGGGCGTCTTATTAGTTGCCGTGTTGGTCCAATTTGGAGCGCATTTCATCAAGACCATATCACCACTGAAGGCGTACTATGCCAAAGACCCTCAGTGGAGCCCTCCTATTGACTCCTTACGATGGGGTTGGTTTCAATCTATCGGCACTCTTCCAAACCTCATCCTTCCCGCAGTAGGAGGAGTCGTCGTAGACAAATGCTGGGGAGTTAAACTCGGCGTTATGTTCTTCCTTGGGGTCGTTTGCACAGGGCAACTGATATTTTTCCTTGGCACGAAAATACACATTTTCTGGTTGGCACTCACTGGAAGGTTCATCGCAGGCCTTGGGCAGGGCTGCGTGTCTTCACTCACAGGAGCGATAGCGGCGATTTATTTTCCCAATAAAATTACCTTTGCAATAGGATTGACAGTAATACAGTAACTGAGTCGTCGTTAATGATGGAAATTTTCGAATTTCAGGAAGCATTTCATTCTCTCTCTGGTGTGGTATCCAAGACTACTCTAGCTCCCGTAGCTGAGCTCTTCAATGGTGATTATAGTATATCCATTCTATGGGGTCTGTTCTGGTGCCTTGTGTCGACTGTGGTTTCATATTGGTGGCTAAGAATGAGCAAGAGAAATCGGTATAGGCAAATGCCTCAGCAGCACGTGCGAGTGAAGGGCGCGGCTATTTTCCGAGATTTCCGTAGGACGTTGATGCTCCCCTTGGCATTCTGGATCGTCTGCTTCCTCCATCTCCTCTTTTCAAACGCCCATCGAGTATTCGGTCACATTGATGCTGATTACCTCCGGGCCAAATACAACTACACCAAGGTGGAGTCTGGTCAGTCCGCGGCTATAACTGACAGTCTCGGCATACTCCTATCACCTCTTATGGGCCTTGCTATTGACTATGCTGGAAGATCGGCAGTCCTACTACCGGTGATACTGATGGTAGCTGGCACGATAGGCTCATTGGGGTACTACCTCCTCAGTAGCAGCTTGTTCACGTCTCCAGACATTCCACTGCTTATGCTCTCTTTCTGTAACGCACTTACTCCCACAGTTCTGCGAGCGACAGTGCCCTCAGCAATACAGGGCTCAGGGGCCCTGTTTGCTACTGCTTATGGGTGTTATGAAGTGATGGAGGCTGCTGGAGTGTTCATAGGAGGCTGGATGGTCGGCTTGGTGAAGACTATGACAGGAACTTACCGAGAAGTGGTATTATGGTTCTCATTCTCTCTGATATTGGCAGTAATACTATCACTAACGTTGTTGGTGTTGCAGACTCGGAAACGCAAAATCGTTGCCGAGACTGACCCACTGACCACTAGTGATGAGGAGGAAGGCCATAGCTTGCTAGTGGACCGCATGGTACTCCCTAGGAAGGACCATCCTGCAGCTGATCTTGGTCGTGCGGGCTGAGTGTCTCACGTATAATATCCTACTATTACTGCTGCTACTACTACTTGTGATTACGCTTTAGCTTGTAGCGGCAATCATCACTGGGGTATCCACTACTACGTAGTTTTCCGCATTGTTCTGTATCATTTTCAGTAGAGGCTACTACCTATTCCGCGGTCGAGTTAGTGAAGTAGGCTCGAAAACGACGTTTTGCTTGTCGTCGAAAACGGTGGCTATTCTCTCTCAAACGAGTTAGTGCTCTTTTTCTCGACGCAAGTACGCTTATAGTAGACTGACAGTGTGTCAATGGTGAATGTGATGAGATAGTCCTTTTGGGGTTTTACTTGCGCATATGTCGACCAGAAAGCAACAGATGGAGAGCAGTGAAGTGAGGAAGGTATCTAGAGACTACTGCGTGCTTACTAGGACTATCGTTGCTGGCACTGCAGAGGTAATATGAATGTTGAGAGTGTTAGTGGTGCGGGGGAGTTCACTGGAAGTATTAAAAACGATGCTGAGCTCATTTTGTCGACTTACTGTAGTAGTTGAGTCCTCGTGAGCAGTGTGGGAAAATACTATCTGTTGGTAACAATGTGAAAATTCTGAGAAAACTTCGGGAAATTCTCGCTGGTTTCTGTACTATCTCACCCGAATTCGTACGTAAACTTGTAAAGTTAGTGAGAAAACTCCGGAGCTCAGTTGAGGCAAGCGAACATATATTTTCTCAACACTACTTCTGAGCCTTGGATTTGAACCTATGTTCTGTCGTGGCAGCCGTAATCATTTTTAATCTTTTCACAAACGTATATTCTCCTGTCCACTTTGCATATATCGAGGAAAGTGATTTTCTCGCTCGCCCTCATATACCAGTAACGGCCCCGAATATTACGGTTTAATTCCACTATACAATAGATAAGCAGTGAGGTTTTACCCGTTTTACGTGAAATAGCGTAGTACTCGGTGAAAACGCGAAATTCGCATTATGCAGTAGTCGTGAAGTATGTTTTTGACTAGTGTTTTTCGTATCACGGGTGGATTTGTATGTTTTATTAGAGTTTCAGCTCAAAACTCTTATATGTTAACAGCTAATGCTGATTTTGCATATTTGCCTAAGGGTAAAGTACGCTGGTGTTTCTCTCGATTGAGTCGCTGAGATTCCGTGATGCGATAGAAATGTGGTATTGTCAGTTTGGACAGTTTAGGGAGTGAGGGTAGTTGATGATCATTAAATGGCGTTCACTATTTGCTGTGCTCCCTTTCTGAAGTTCTCGTGTTTTCAGGTCTCACAAGCGTCTGTGGCGCATCTATTCAGTGAGATGGTTTGTTACGCTGTACGGCGGCAAGGGCCAGATAATGAGCATCTAGAGAGTAAACTGCATAAGATGGGCGCCTCTATGGGGCCGGGTTTGCTGGAACTAACGTATATGAGGGATACTTCTCGGAATGTGAGAATAGGATGAAAAGGGTTCTACCAACGGGGTGCTTGGTCAGATGTCGCGAAAGCGAGATTATAAGGTTTTGCCCCTGTTATATCACATTGCTACTTATCTTTGGAAGGCTCTGTTTGGTCATGAAGCTGAGGTAGTAGTGGTAGTAGTAGTAGTGGTAGTAGTAGTAGTAGTGGTCGTAGTAGTAGTAGTAGTAGTAGTAGTAGTAGTAGTAGTAGTAGTAGTAGTAGTAGTAGTAGTAGTAGTAATACTCCGTATTGCAGTGATTAACTTATCAGGTTTTAACAACAGACCAAGAATGTGAGTTCTATTTAGCTGATAAACAGTGGATATTGAACAAGTATTGCTTCCTATCTTTTCCCTCTCCCACTACTGCCAACAGGTTCATCTCCTTACCGCCCGTCTCGGACGACTCAGACGACAACTTTGTGAATTGTGCCGCGTTCGCCGCTGGTCTGATCGAGGGAGCGATCAATGCTGTTGGCATGGTAATCACATTGAGCCTCATACTTCATAAGTATTATGTCAGCAATGTAAATGCACGGCGGCTTACACCAGTGAGGACCCCGAGACTGACCCTATGGCAATTACTATTATTGTAGATTTCGACAGAAGTGTTATTGATCGACAGAAGCGAGTAGGGGCTGGTGGAAGTGCCTTAGTCGGCACTATATAGACTTGAAACTCGTCACCATTTGTAACATTTCGGTTCGATTCATCGTCGATTTGAGTTCATTCAGTATGAGTGTGATGTTGATTTTTGAAGTCGTTTGTATGCGATGAAATCACGACTACATTCGGTCTTACTGCTAGTCTCCCTTCTTGGTTTACTCGGTGTCACGTTGAACAGTACGCTACTCAGTGTTGCCTCGGAAGAAGGCTCGCGGGCACTACCCCACATAACGGTGTTTCACGCCAAGTGGTGCGGTCCTTGTTTGTTGGAAGCTGACGAATTGAAGAAGTTACCACCGGGAAATTACTACGTGGATAGAATTGATGTGGATGAAGAACGGGAGTTGGCGAGAGCCGCTGGAGTTGGGAAGTTGCCGTGTATTGTTGTCGAGTCCCCAAATGGGAGGATGACGAGGCTGGAAGGTCTGAGGAGCGCTGAGGATATCATGTTTGCTGTAGAAGAGCTGCGAAGAGGGGGAAGTGTGGTATTAAGTTGACACAAGTGATTTAGTAAATATTGTGATTACTTTTGTAGAGTGTCGAGTTAAGCAGTAGTGCGACCTTCCCAGTCAACATGCAAGACGATATGTGTGTGAATATAACCTTTCGGGTGGGCATATCATCAGATAAGATGCCATATCTTCCATCTTCTGCATTCTAAATTCTGCCTAAAGAGATGAAGCATCATACATGTTCACGTGAGAATTTCACAGTGAGAAACTGCAAGAAGAGCGAGAGAGCAGTAACCATATCGCAGAAACTCACCATAGATATCCCTCCTCGTGGTAACTCTCATAGTCAGAGTTGTTACCTGGGTTTGGCATGATGATAGGCAAACGACCCCTTAGGCAAAATTGAATGTCCTATCAGCGAAATTCATTTCTGCACTTCGTAAATAGATCTTACTTCAGACATGCCGGCGGAATTGATTGTACTAATGACACGTGTCGTCGAAATTGATTTTTCTATCGAGCGCGGTTTCTGGCGAATTTGATTTTACTTGGGCATATCTTGGCTCGAATGATTGTTCGCCCTGCGGTCAGCTTACAAAGGCGAAGGGTCGCTCGAAGGAGTGTCGACATCCGATATGGTTAGAGCAGTTGAGAAATACCCGTTCTAAACCATCATGGTGACCGTCTAGGACTGCCCTCAATCTAGCACGAAGTACGGCCTGGATACACATGCTAGGCACAGGAGATGCTGGAGTGGGGACTCACGGACGCATCGACTTCGCCAAGGCTACAGTCCGAGTCCATCACCAATAACCTCCACCAAGTTAGCCATCGGGGGAGGCGTCGAAGGCGTCGGCTGGGGCTGAGGCTCATCTACGAGTGGCTCAGCCGCTGAGACACTAGTAGAGGTAGTGCCGAGAGCGGTGAGAGGAAGGTGATGGCTGTTGATCCATATATTGTCTTCATCTGAGACGCTAGTAGACTGGACATTATGGGACTATTGGGATTCCCAACTTGGGAACTGTAAGAAGGGGACAGTGACGGAAGGCTGAAAGCATAAGTGGTACAGATGCTTGGTGTATTCGAGGGCCGATGAAAGGCATCCTATGGTCAGGGATGAGCATGGGTGGAGGGATTGTTGCAGCGATGTCAGTAGTTCCGAGACTATCGTGACTGCACGACGCCTTTGATTGGGAGGTGGCGACAACGCGTTTGATCCAGATATATAGTATGTCCATTGGATTGGCATGAATTGGTACTGTATTTATTGTATCAGACTTTGCCCGATTCTGATACAATAAATACAGTACAATTTATCGTGTTCCCGAATCGGATAACAGAGGCGTTTCCCCATCTCATCCTAGGGTAGGAGTGCCTGACGCCATCAGTAGTGTTGTGGGGCGCCCCACAAGCAACGAACAAGGGTCATAGTTGAGAAGGAGTCGGTGTCACTCAGCGATAAAGTGATTGCTTTGCTCCCGCACGGGTTGTAGCCGTGATTGGCAGACTACACATCAGTGGTGATATTATCATCATCGTGGATCAACAATTCATTGTAGAGACCCTCTGTTCACGACCTCAAAGGACTACTTGAGCGCACTGAACTAATGCTCAACTCATTGCACCCGGGTTCGAACCCTGCTGACGACATCTCACATAATCTCGAAATAATCAGCATCACGGCTTAAAATACTCCCCGAGGAAGATGCAAGTTAGTCTCGCAAATGTCAAGCGTCGATTGAAGCTATCCTTTATAACGAGTAATACATGGTACATAACCACACTTATGTACTCAAAGACGCCAGAGGCTTCACGCCATCTGCTGATGGGGAGGTCTTGGACAGAGTACTCGGTCGCAAAAGCTAGTGTCAACTCCAGCGAAGGTGATTTGAGTCGGCGAACGAGCTTGGCCATCCGCGAGTGCTTCAATAGTCCAAAGTTTCTGAGAGAAAGTTCTTGGCAACTGACACGTTATTCTTTCTAGTGGACTGCGTGACGGGACAGACCTGTGTGAGGTCACCTCACGGAGGTGTGAGCCGCTTGTATGACACCAGTTAATCGGGCACTCATCTCGTGACCGAGATTACAAGAGGAAACCCTGCAAGTCTTCCATCCTCTCCACACTACAAGGTGAGGCCACGTCGAGTATAAACAAGAAGATTGCTGCTACTATCACGGCTACGATATCGGAGTAGGAGGGACTCCCTCCGAGGGAGACAGTGATGCTGTCAGCGAGCATATGAGTGATGTCTCTGATGATGGTGGATCCTGAGGGGTGGTTTCTAGCATCCTCCGTGTCGCTTTGTGCCAAGGAGGCTACTGATCAGTTGCTCTGCTACAAACTCTATAGTACAGAGTGTTCAAAAAAAAGACCCAAGCCTCGTACTACGAGGCCCGTAGCTTCTCGGCGCATGTGTGTGAGTTTCAAATGCAACGTCAACAACACGGCTTGGATTCGCATCGATGCACACTAGCTTATGTCCGACATAATATGCCGGATCAGCTTTAGTCTATTGAATTGGCCCACACAGTTCATTTCATTATTCAGTTGTAGCATAGGCTCTGCAAAAATTGTGTAAGTTCTTCATCATGCATGGAATGTTGTAAACAGGCCGACTCGCTCTGAGCGAGATGATAACCTCTGGTAAGATACTCCTTCTCCTCTCGGCAGGATCCGCTTCCACAACTGCGGGGTCTGTGCATGACACATATCATGAGCACTCACCATAGTGTATCGACTACAAGCATCATCACCAGGACTCAAAGTCCCTACTCTAGCATAAGTCATCCCTCGCTGGAGACTATTATTCTCGATGGCACAAGGATATACATGTAGCTGCGTTCCCTCGTATCATTCGTCTATCGAATTTTCGAAGGTCAATTTGTCACTAAAGTTCGCCATAGGTATGCATCGTCTCACACTAATTGTTGCTTGCCCAGGAGTTCCGCTTCCGCCCGCATAACTCGGACGCAAACGTGATCGATCTGGTCACTGAGAGCAGTTCTCGTCATGCGAAACCAGGGCGGCAGCTGGGTCCATTTCTTTATCCTCTTCATCAGGTTGAGTGACCGAAGAGTAACGGGAGGCACGCTCCATTATTTCTGCACGATTCTACCATTCGAACGCGTTCTCTCTGTCTCGAACTTCGCAGTGTCCTTTGCAATTTGCAAATTGCAAACTCTCGGAGTCCTCGGTCCGAGGATAGAATCTTGACTGTCCCTTCCAGTGGTATCTTTGGCTGCAACTCGTAACAGAAAGGACAATGATATCAATGCACTCATGTGAACTCAAGACACTCTGATGTATTTCCCCGTGTAGTCTGAATCTTAATCCACCGACAAAGCCTGCCCATTCGCCAGAAAATAAGCTCTCTATGGAACAACTCGAAGAATAGCATACTTCTAAATGGTATATGTGAAAACATACCACTAGAAGGACCAATCCAGCTGGAGGTCTTCTCACGGAGCGTTCATGAAACGATCAACGATAATGGAGGGCATTCTGCTGTAGAGCTAGGGTTCGAAAGAATGGAATGAAAAGAAATGAGATAGAGATAAGCAGAAGAGATAAGAGGAGATAATTCTCTCTACAAAAGGAGAGAATTGTTTACGGAGATCGCGGTTTTAACTTGCCAATTCCCACTCGTTTGAGAGTAGGGTCGAACTGGAAATAGTTATCGATCAGTATACGATCGGGAAAGATCCATTCGTTCTTGCGATTCTTCTTGATAATAAGACTACAAATAACAGGGTTATAGGTCGTTCTCTTAGCGTAGTGCATGTATGTCATCGAGAATGGGGTCATGCCTTGAGGGCCCAAGTAAAACCGCAACAGTGGCAATTTGGTCTTGTATTGGCAGGGAAAATACCATCTCTTCGCTACTCGATCGTACACGAAAGCGACATGCACACCTGCAGCCTTGTCAGTTTGGGCTCTAATATCATCGATGAGACTGTTGTAGTATAGTCCTGGGACAAGTAGAATGTTGCTGCCGGTGTCGAGTAGTACGTTCATATTCATACCAAGAGTTATGTGTCCATCACCGACTTGTAGCTTATCGATGTTTACGGTGTAACGTCCGTGTGTAGAGAAGTCGATATACTTCAATGCACCCTCATATAATCCAGGATCGCCTCCACCCAGGAGTAGGCCTCCATCAGCGGAATCCTCATTGGGATCAGCGGGAGGATACAAGTAGAGGGCGATAATACCGGTCGATATAGTTCGTGATGATCGCAATTGCGTCATCATGGACGGGAAGTTCACAAAACCTTTATCATAGCCAAGACCCATCAAATTTACCGGAGGATTCATGGGATCGATGGGAGGAGTGTGTTGAAATATCAGTCCGAAAGTGAGGGTCTGCGACACCTGACCCACCGTTAACTTCGCTTTATGCTGAAACATTTTCACCGTGACTCCTCCACCGAAAGTAGCAGTTCTCGTCACGTTACCCACAGAGCAAGGCGGAGAACATTCGAAACACCCCATGGGCCAATCCTTGCAGAGGATTCTACTGTTTTTCTCGAGCCAATCCTTCCAGATAAGGAAAAAAGAACCAGACCCAGTGTCAACGAGAACATCTAGCTTTTGGCCATTCTTGTCGACCAGAGTATGAAACAATCCGAAGCCGAATCCGCCTACACCTTTGAGCCTCACATCGAGCTTCAGAGTTTCTGCTCGGGTGACCTTCAACACGCCCAATACGTAAACCAAGGCGAGCAGACGGATAGGCAGAAGAAGAGGCATCTCGGTCGTTATTTTGGCCAAAATTCAACTCTGTAACATTCCGAATACATTCCATGTTTTGATAGATCATTGTCATTGTGCACTGCACAGCCACTAGTACTCGTGGAAGGGGCTGATAACTCATTTCAACTTCCCTTCAAATGTTCGCAGTCTCCGATGGATTCACCATCGAAGGGCCAACTCACATGCTCGAGAATACCCAACCACTACTGCGTGATATTAGACAAGATGAGATTCGCGCAGCGAAAATCCACACGCGCGCAAGCATGCGCTAAACTTACACTTCTAATAGCAGCCCTGGGCTGCCAACCATCTACATGAATTCCATACTACGAACGTACACATGCCATATCTCTTTAATTCAGTCTGGATCGTCGTAGATTATATATGCTTCCGGCTGACTGGTACCGCTCGAGTCTACATACAGTATGCAATACGTGAACAATATTTATCATTCCAATCGCGTGTGCACACAGGCCGCCAGTGGTAGGAGGGGTTACAGGATATCTGTATCTCCTTACCATTATGGCAAGGAATTCGATAAGCGGGGTTTGACTAAGATTGGGAGTCAAGTCTCAAGTGCAGTCCAGTTTTTTAAAGTCGTGAAGATGCGTTTCGGAGTTTTAGTTTCTTCTTGTTTTAAAAGATCTACATGTCGTGCGGTCTGCTCACGCGTGCGGACTTCGTGGATAATGAACGCTGCACGCGTGAGCAGACCGTGCAAGCGCAGAGTAGCACAATGGAACTCGGATAATCGGGAACCTTTTCCGATTATCTACACATTTTCCCCGTCGTGTTTACAATAAGTATTAGAGTAGTGAGATATACCTAAGTTTTTCAATTCCGCGCGGAGCTCACGGAAATTAGTTTTGTGCCTTTAAAAGAAGTTCTTCCAATCCTTACAAAATACTCCATCGGCCCCATGGCCCTGGACTCAACTCGACTTGTCCTTCAACCAACCCGTGGCTACACCGTGCTCTGTCATGTAAGTTGGATGATGTCCTTCCCTCCCTCTCGATGAGTGGTTCACTTCATCTCGTTTAGGGTATCCCCGTGATAGCCCACCCAAGTGGTGTCGATATAACTGGTATGAGAAGAGGCAAGTCTGCTGGTGTATGCCGGGCTTTTATCGGGAATCACCGTATGACGTGTCACTTTCCAAGAGGTAAATTTCTTTCCGATGATCGTCTCGCACTATTTCCGCTACTCTTTCAGAGGCTGTCCCAAGGAGATCTTCATCATCCCGCGGTTCGTCAGGGGGAGCGAACTACGCCGACTAGAAGCATTCGATGAGCCTCCAAGAAAAACTGGGGCCGTGGCTGAGGAATCCTCCACCGATGAGTGTACTTGTCCATTCCTATCTGATGCGTTTGACGAGGCCTCCAAGTCTCCATGAGTAATGTAATCGTCAGATGAAGTCGTGATGATTATGTGAAACGATAATTCATCGCCCTATAGCTTTGCCGCAAACGGCAAATCTGTCATTATCTTACTTGTATGTAAAGAACATGCCGCACTTATTTTAATAGCGCATGTGAAGTTTATGTGAAACAATGCAAGTTCTCTCCTAGCATACTTTGACCTGTTGTGCGGGGATAATGAGTAGGGATTGGGTGTTTGGGTTGGGAATAATGAGTATGATAACTCAGCGCGGAGATGCTCTTTCCGATATTATGACATATGAAGTTTGGGAATCTCGGAAGTACGCCCGTGTACTTCTATTCCGATCTTGATGTATCACTCTCCTAATCATTTCTGATTTTAACAATTTTTGTTTAGTTAAACTGCTATATGTAAACTACTGCGATCAGTTAAACTTTCCCTCAGGGGTGTGCAGTAGACATAAACCA